CTCTCTCTCTTTCTCTCTCTCTCTCTCTTCTTTCTCTCTCTCTATCTCTCTCTCTCTCTCTCTCTCTCTTCATATCTTTCTAGATATAAATATAGATCAGTATCTCTCTTTCTCTCTTGTTCCTTTTGTCTCTCTCCTTCCCTCTCTTTTCTCTCTCTCTCTCTCTCTATATCCCTGTCTTTCTATATCTCTCCTTCTCTCTTCCTCTCTCCCTTTTTCTCTCCCTGTCTCTCTATCGCACGACGATCCTGATAGCTGTCCACTCTTGCAGCCCCCAGGATCAGTCAACATCGAATCGGGAACTCGGATCGAATCTAGATCTTCGTCGGATCGGGCTGCATCGGCACGGAGTCGGAGTCGAATCGGATCGGCCGCGCCAACGCGCACAACGGCGCCGTGCGAGCGCCGGGCCGCATCGAACCCCAGAAAAATCGGAATCGGATCGGATCGGGCTGACGGGGATCGGTCTCGACTCGGATCGATCGGATCGAGATTGACCCGGACCCCCCGCAGTGTTTGCGGTCGCCCCAATGCTGCGCACGTGCCCTCCCCCCCTGGCGGCACAGCAAGCTCGAGCGAGGCCACCGAGCAGGAAGTCCCCCAGTGCCGGGCGCGGTCCCTGGACGGGGCGAGGCCATCCTCGTCCTTCTCCTCCTTTCCTCCTCCTCCTCCTCCTCCTCCTCCTCCTCCTCCTCCTCCTCCTCCTCCTCCTCCTCCCTTCACGTAATCCTCCTCCTCCTCCTCCTCCTCTTCTCCTCCTTCCTCCTCCTCCTCCTCCCTCCTCCTCCTCCTTCTCTTCTCCCCCCTCTCCTCGTCCTCCTCCGCCTCCTCATCCTCCTCCTCCTCCTTCTCCTCCTCCTCCTCCTCCTCCTTCCACTTGATCAGCCTACTCCTCCTCCTGCTCCTCCTCCTCATCATCAGAATATTCATCATCAGCAGCAGCATCATCAGCATCATAAGCAGCATCTTCATCATGATCATCATCATGATCATGATCATGATCATCATCATCATCACCTTCTTCATCATCATCATCATCATCATCATCATCATCATCATCATCATCATCATCAGCATCAGCATCAGCATCAGCATCAGCATCAGCATCATCATCATCATCATCATCACCACCACCACCACCATCAGCATCATCAGCATCATCATCATCATCATCATCATCATCATCAGTAGCATCATCATCATCATCATCATCATCAGCAGCATCTGCATGATCATCAGCAGCATCATCATAATCATCATAATCATCATCAGTATCATCATCATCATCATCATCATCATCATCATCATCATCCTCATCAGCCTCATCGTCATCATAAGCAGCAGCATCATCATCAGCATCATCTTCATCATCATCATCATAATCGTCTTCACCATCATCATCATCATCATCATCATCATCATCATCATCATCATCTTCACTTTCACCTTCACCATCATCAGCAGCATCGTCATCAACACCATCATCATCGTCATGATCATCATCGTCAAGATCATCATCATGGTCGTCATCGTCGTCGTCATCGTCACGTCGTCGACGTGGTCATCGTCATCGTCATCATCGTCATCGTCATCGTGCTCGCAATCGTCATCGCCATCGTCATCGTCATCGTCGTCGTCATCATCACCGCCACCATCATCACCATCACCATCGCCATCATCGCTATCACCATCCAGAACAACAGCACCACCGCCACCACAACAACAACCACCATCATCAGATTCGTCATCATCATCATCATCATCAGCATCATTGTCATCATGATCATCATCATCATGATCAGAATCGTCATCATCAGTATCGTCTTCATCGTCACCATCGGCATCACCAACAACAGACACATCATCTTCACCACCACTATTCTCGTCGTCATTATCACCAGTATCATCACCATATGCAGCACAGCATCAACAACAGCACCGACGCCACCACCGCGACCATCGTCGTCATCATGATCCGCATCATCGTCATCAACAACAGCGTCATCCTCATCATCGTCATGATCACCATCATCATCACCATCGTCATCATGAACATCATCATCGTCATCAGCATCATCACCAGAATCAACAACCTGTAACCCATCCTCCTCCTCATTCTGCCTCCTGCTCATCGTCATCATTATCACCACCATCACCATCATCAGCAGCGGCATCACCACATTATCAGCATCATCATGATGGCATCAGCAGCATCATCACACTCAACATCATCATTACCATCACCAGCACCAGCAACGTCACCATCACCATCATCAGCATCATCCTTATCAGCATCAGCATCATGAGCATCATCCTCAACATCATCAGCATCCTCATCCTTCTGATCCTCCTCATCCTTTTGATCCTCGTCATCCTCCTGTGGATCGTCAGCATCTCACCACCATCGTCAGCAGCAGAATCACTCCGTTAGCAGCATCATCATGATGACATCAGCTTCATCATTAGCATCATCATCATCAGCAGCATCATCACAATTACCATCAGCATCGCCATCACCAGCATCATCACCATCATCAGCGTCATCAGCAGCAGCATCATCATGCGCATACTCATACGGCAGGTTCGTGTCGTGTCGACCCCGGCGTTGGTTTTCGACACCGCGCTGGATCGTTCAACCTTGAACGATCGGCCGCTGCCGCAACGTCCGATCGTTCAAAATCGATCGATTCTCTGTCGCCGTCGGCGTTCAACCTTGAACGTCGGCGGCGGGGTCGCCGCCGGTCGACACGACGCGAACCTACCGTATTCACCCTTCCACTGTCCTATTCCGTCTCCTCATTACCCTACATTCAGTCCACGGTGGTGGCCCTCTTATTCCGTAGGAGGAGGAGGAGGAGGAGGAGGAGGAGGAGGAGGAGGAGGAGGAGGAGGAGGAGGAGGAGGAGGAGGGAGGAGGAGGAGGAGGAGGAGGAGGAGGAGATACAGGGGAAAATTATAGAGAAATGATGGGCTGAGGCAAGGGGGGGCGAGCGCGCGTGTTCGCGAAATAGTTTGCAGATATAGTATGCTAACCAACATACAAGCAACATCCACCTCTCTCATCTCTTCGTGTGCTCGTCTCACCTCGTCTTTCGTATAGATTATTCATCATCCTATTCCTCCTCCTCCCCATCAGCATCAGCATCAGCATCAACATCATCAGCAGCATCAGCGTCAGCATCAGCTTCAGCAGCATCATCGTCATCAGCATCACCATCATCATCAGCAGCATAAGCATAATCATCAGCATCATCATCATCGTCATCCCCCTCTCACCTATCATCATTATATGCCTCCATTCTGCGTGAAGCAGACATTGGCTGGATGGCCGGTGCGTCGATTGAGGCGCTCACGCCAAAAAAGGAAACACAGTCGGAAATTAACGCGCGATCGACATGGGGCTTATGTACCGATGCCCCAGGTGTTGGCAAAGTGCGACCCCTGAACGGGAGAAGGGAGGCGACGATGTGAGAAGGAGTACCGAAGCTCTCCCAGGCGTAGAGGCGGGCACTGGGCAAAGACCCTCACTGAGGGTAGGATGCAGGAGCTGGCGCAGAGCCACATTGAGGGCCTCTTGAGCACGCTGCTTCTGCATAAGCTCAACAAGGAGGAACTCAAAAAAGAAGTCTTCTCCATCAGGGCCGTCGCGAACAAGACCCGTGCGAAGTGGGCTTCGATGCCGAAGGCCCTCGTGGACAGGGCCATGCGCGCCAGCAAGCTACAGTGAGAGGCTGCAGACGGTAGCCGCTGTCGCGGCTCGGGGTTGAAAAACCTGGGAAGCATCGACAACCTCCAAACCTCATCTTCGCCATCGCCAACACTATCATCAAGCTGCTCAGCATCACCAGGCCTGGCAACCTTGAGGCCGTCTGGGAGCCGTCTTGGGGTCCTCTTGGGGCCGTCTTCGGGCCGTCTTGGGGCCGCCTTGGAGCCGTCCTGGGGCCGTCTTGGCGCCGTCTTGGGGTCCTCTTGGGGCCGCCTTGAAGCTGTCTTGGGGTCCTCTTGGGGGGTTCTTGGAATCTCTGGGGGGCCTCTTGGGGCCATTCCTCCCTCCCCCCATTCGGCCCCTTTCTGTGGGCTGCCGTCTGGGCCTCGGCTCACGCGCGCGCGGTACTGCGAGAGCGGTTCGGGCGTGGTTGCCCGTGAAATGGTAGTGGAGCTGCGGCCCTATTAACTAGAATGTGGAGCTGCTGACGGCGAAGATACGTGTGGTAGCGAATCTTCTGCGTCAGTGGCACAAGGTGGTCAAGACGTCTGGTAGTGGCGGTATTGCGCCGCCGATGTGTGCACGCGGGCGTGATCACCGCGTCTGTGCGCGAACGCTCTGATATCGTATGCCACTCGACGCGCAATCACAATCATCTCAAAAACGAAGCTGAGAAAGAAAAAATGAGTTTGGACAACAAATGTTTTGGGGAAAAACAATGTCTCGAAATACCTGGTGCAGAAGCTTTGCGGGGTCTCTGCGGGGTCCCTGCGGAAACTCTCGGGCGGGCCTGCGATAGCTCCTGCGGGAAGCTCGCGGGGAAAAAAACAAAAGATCGTGGTTCTGGCCCTGTAAGAGGTCTCCCCGACATAACACTAGAGCGGTAACTCAAGCAAAACGCAGTGTTCCTCGTTCCCGCCACAACGCTTGCGGTTGCAGGGCTGGACTCAAACACCTTTTCACTTTTGAGCCCTCCTTGCGAAGCCATAAAGCAAAAGTGTACACATGATCACTTGCCCACGTCCCGAAGACAACTCCATGTTGTTTAAAACCTCTCTTCGAGATCGGTTCCCCAGGCTGAAACCCAGTATTGAGAGGTCGCCACAGCAGGGTCCCAGCCTCGGAAGTGGGGCCTGAATGTTGGGATCCCCAGCTCCGCCACAGGGTCCCGACCGGTCCTGGCCCGTCCGGTGGGAGTTCTGGTCCCCTGACCCTGATCAGGGCCCACTCAATAGCACCAAGGTTGCCCTTGGCTTCCCGTGTCTTCTTTCGGCAGCCCCTCGGAACATAGAGGAACAAAAAATGCAGAAACTGAAACTTTCGAAGGTCCGCGTTGACTTCTTGGATCTGTGCCAGGCCCCCCTCCCTGGCGAGCGGTCTGCACCAGTGGCGGCGCCGGAGGAGCCGCCAGGGGGGCCACTAAGCGGATCCAAGAAATCCGCGCGGACAGCTCAAAGTTAATGTTTGTGTCGTTTTTTTCTTCTTCGAGAACAGACCCAGAAATGTTGGAGCAGCGGGCGAGGACGGAAACGTTTCTGGCCGCAGCGGCGCGGACCCACGCCGCGTTGGAAGGCAGGCGATGGGCACTGCGGGGCCTCTACCTGGGCACCGCCAGGAGGAGGGGCGGGGGGCGGGCGCGCGGGAGAAGGAGCGGAGCACGCTCGTAGCACGAAGTCCCTGAGCGTGCGTGCCGTAGCACGGGCGTGCACAGCAGGGAGACGCCGAAGTCCGAGGTCCTCATCCTCCTCCTCCTCCTGCTCCTGCTCCTGCTCCTGCTCCTCCTCCTCCTCCCCCTCATCCTCCCCTTTCTCCTCCTCCTCCCCCTCCCCCTCCCTCATACTCCTCCTCCTCCTCCTCCTCCTCCTCCTCCTCCTCCTGCTTCTCCTCCTCCTCCTCCTCCTCCTCCTCCTCCTCATCCTCATCCTTCTCCTCCTCGGGTGAGTAGCACTCGAGTCGCGAAGGCAGAAGCGGTAGGTTCGTGCGGCGTCGGCGCGCGCAGCAAAGGTTTTGACACTGCATCGATCGTTCCGCCTTGAACCGATCGCGGCCCCGATCGAGCCCAATGTCGTTGCCGTATCCCTCGGTGCGTCCGCGTCCCGGACTTCAACCCTGAGCGCACTCGCTGGCGTCGCTGGCGTCGCTGGCGCGCCAACGTCGCAGGAACCTGCAGTAGCACTCGGATCGCGAAGACGGCAACACGCGAAAACAAAACCGCTGGCATCCGCGAGCTGCGCACGTGCCGTAGCACGGGCGTGCACAGCAGGGAGACGCCGAAGTCCGAGGTCCTCATCCTCCTCCTCCTCCTCCTCCTCCTCCTCCTCCTCCTCCTCCTCCTCCTCCTCCTCCCCTCCTCCTCCTCCTCCTCCTCCTCCTCCTCCTCCAGCTCCTGCTCCCCTCCTCCCCTCCTCCTCCCCATCCTCCTCCTCCCCCTCCCCCTCCTCCTCCTCCTCCTCCTCCTCCTCCTCCTCATCCAACGCCACGCTCTGCAGCGACTGGCGTGCGGCAAGCTCCATGCGCCTCTTTGCACTTCAGGGCCCCTTGGCGGGCCGACGTATACCTGCGGCCAGTCGTGCGAGAGAGACGCCAAAGCACACGTCCGCTTCGGGGGAGCGAATGCTCCTGCTCCTCTGAAGGGGCCCTGGGACACACAAATAAATGCACACAAATAAAGAGATTCCCCATATTTTCACATAGTTTCTGGGTTTTTGTCTTCCCGCCCCATTCCCATATCTTCGCATATTTTCTGGGGAATCGACGATTAATTGTGCCTGTGTATTTTTTCCTCTCCTGATCCTCGCGCCCCAACCGCCCAAGCAGCAGCACAACAGGCAGCATCACGTTTCCTGCGAGAGGCGGGGCTTCTGGCACCGCCTACGCCTTGCTCCCGAAACTCCTTCCTTCTTCCAGGGAGGCCCCGGACGACGGCTCCAAAGGAAGCCTAGAGACCCCCAGGAGTGCGAGGCAACGAAAGGGGGGGACTGACATAGGGGGGACACATCGACCTGAAATCGGCGATGCATCGCTGATAGATCGGCGATAGGCCCCGATAGTGAATCCGCACGTTCCTGGGCAGTTTGGGACTATGGGGCCCCTTTCGGCGATCAATTGGCCATTGGGGTCGATGCATCCCCCTCTATGCCCATCCCCCCCTATCGTTGCCCCTGGAGGAGGCCCTGAACACGGGCGAAAGGGCCCCCAGCGAGGCGTCCCATGTGGCCCCAGGAGGCCATCCTTGCGGCCAGGTACCCTCCACGACCAGGCAGCCCCTGCCCTCGAGGCGCCTCCAAGAGCCCCGCAACAGGTCTCTAAGAAAAAGCCCAGGACACACAAATAAAGAGAGACGAATTCCAGGATTCACCATATTTCCCAGATATGCAGGATGTCCGTCTTCCCCTCCACTTCCAACATTTGCCACATCCTCCTGGGAATCGACCATCATCTATGTCTGTATGTTTTAAAAACAGCCCCGAGATGGCCCAGTACACGCCCGAGACGGCCCCCCCGCGGCAGGTTCGTGTCGTGCCAACTTCGGCGTTGGCTTCTGACACCGCGCGGACCGTTCAACCTCGTCGTTGGCCCTCCGCCAGCCACCAGCTGGGCCCGCAGCACCGCCACGAACACACGAGGGCCGCTCCGTCGCTGGGGCCCCGGCGCCGCCGATCGTGCCGCTGCGCGCCGCGCCTGCCCAGCGTCGCCGCCTCTGCCGTCCTCGCCCTCGTCGTTCGTTCGTCGGCCGATCCCTCGTGCGTCGTCCCTCGGCCGACAACGACGAAGGATCGGCCGTTTCCGAAACGTCCGATCCCTCAACATCGACCGACCGGGGCCGCCAGCGGCGTGCCGTGCCGAGCGCCGGCGGCGGGGTCGCCGCCGGTCGACACGACGCGAATCTACCGCACGCCAGCCTCCTCCTCCTCCTCCTCCTCCCAGCCTCCTCCGCCTCCTCCTCCTCCTCCTCCGCCTCCTCCTCCTCCTCCCTCCTCCCTCCTCCTCCTCCTCCTCCTCCTCCTCCTCCTCCTCCTCCTCCTCCTCCTCCGCCTCCTCCTCCTCCTCCTCCTCCTCCTCCTCCTCCTCCTCCTCCTCGCCCTCATCGGCTAAAGACCAGCCAGAAGCCGACTCTCGACCCCCCCCCCGGAACAGGCCGCAAGGCCGGCCCGAGACGGCCCCACGCGACCTCCGACGGCGCCGCGCCGCTGGGCGGCGCGCCCCTCTCCGCCGTGGCCTCGAGGAGCGGACCACTGCTGCAGCATGCCGCGGCAGGTGCGCGTCGTGCCGACTTCGGCGGTGGTTCCCGGCACCGCGGGGATCGCTCAGCCTGGAACGACCGGCGGCCTCCGAAGCGTCCGATCGTTTGCCATCGATGCATTCTGGGCGGCGTTCCGCCTTGAAGGCCAGCGAGGGGTTCGCCGCCGGTCGGCACGGTGCGAACCTGCCGCAGGCATACTCGTCAACCTCGAACGCCAGCGAAGGGTTCGCCGCCAGGCGACACGATGCGAACCCACCGTGCGCATACCCCCGGAGTGCCACACTGCTGACGCAGACATGTCGAGGAAGAGGCGCCTGCCACACCCGAAGGCCTGCACCCGGAGCAGGGCGAGCCGAGACGACGGCGGCTCAAAAGCGGTCCCTTGGCCCCTCCCAGAAGGGGCAACGATAGTAGGGGGAAAACAAACCTACCTCGCTTTTGACCACCCTCGCTTCCAAGAGATACCAAACGATGCCAAATTGCAGCCTGTACTGGTCAGGCCGCTTGACGAGGAGGCGCGTGGTATGGCTTGGTTTTGCCTGGAAGCGAAAGCGGGGTAGGTAATTCACGCTCTGAGATAGGGGGGGACTGGCGTAAGGGGGGAGGGGGGGGCGGGCACATCGATCTGGAATCGGCGATACATCGCCGATTGATCGGCGACAGGCCCCCGATAGCGAATCCGCACGTAACCTGGGCAGGGTGGGGCCGTGGGGCCCCTGTCGGCGGACCATTGGGGATCGCTGCATCCACACGATGCCTTTCCCCCCCTATCTAGGGGGAAAACAAACCTACCTCGCTTTTGACCACCCTCGCTTCCAAGAGATACCAAACGATGCCAAATTGCAGCCTGTACTGGTCAGGCTGCTTGACAAGGAGGCGCGTGGTATGGCTTGGTTTTGCCTGGAAGCGAAAGCGGGGTAGGTAATTCACGCTCTGACTATCGTTGCCCCTGATCCCAGACTCCAAACGCACCAGTTTTCCGAGCTGCGTCCAGCCGTGGCGACGAGAGGGGGGCCCCCGAAGACAAACTGCCGGTGTCTCAACTGGCCCTCGCATGCACACTACACGAAAATGAGCTTCGGCATCGTTGCCTCCTCGTCCAGCCGACGGGAAGGGGGAGTGGCAGCAGGCGGCCACGGCGGCAGCTGAAAGACAGAGAGGGCGGCGACGCGGCCGAGGTGCTGGACTTCGTCCGCACCTTCTGCGGGGAGCCCGGCGGAGCCTGGGGTGGCAAGGTCGCAGGGGGCGAAGGGAGGAGACATTGGAAGAGGGAAGACGAGGAGGTGAAGGTGGAGGAGGAGGAGGAGGAGGGCGAGGAGGAGGAGCAGGGTGAAGAAGAGGGTGAGTTGAGGAGTGGTTGCGAGACCTCGGACCTTGCCGTGATGGCCCTTTCCATACCTCCAACTCTTCAGCATGGATGTTTCCATTGTCCCTTCATGTCCTCGCCCTGTCCTCCTCCTCCTTTTCCTCCTCCTCCTCCTCCTCCTCCTCCTCCTCCTCCTTCTCCTCCTCCTTCTCCTGGTATTCATCCTCTTCCTCCGCATCCTCCTCCTGCTTCTGTTTATGCTCCTGCTCCTGCTTCTGCTCATCATCCCCCTCCTCCTCCTCCTCCTCCTCCTCTCCTCCTCCTCCTCCTCCTCCTCGTCCTCCTCCTCTCCTCCTCCTCCTCCTCTCTCCTCATCCTCCTCCTCCTCCCCTCCTCCTCCTCCTCCCTCCTCCTCCTCCTCCTCCTCCTCCTCCTCTCCTCCTCCTCCTCCTCCTCCTCCTCCTCCTCCACTCCTCCTCCTCCTCCTCTCTCTCCTCCTCCTCCTCCTCCTCCTCCTCCTCACTCCTCCTCCTCCTCCTCCTCCTCCTCCCTCGCCGTCGCTGCCCAGTCTCACGGTCAAACGGCGTCCGCACGACGCCTGTCATATCTGCTTCAGCCCGTCTGCCTCCCATGCCCCGAACTCTTGGCCTTCCTCCGCTCGGCAAGGAAGCAAACGCTGCCGTGGGCGATCCTTGGAGCCAACGACCTGGAGTGGATTGCGCAGTGGATGGTTCATGCTGATCCATTTTGACAATTGCCTGTGGCCATCGAGCGATGAGTCCGCAATGGCACGGCATTTCTGTGAAACTGCATGCATGCACGGCTACGGGTTTGTGAAACGCTCGCGTTGTGAGCGAAGCTGCTCACGTCGCGTGGCCGTGGCCACTCCAGGCAAACGAATTGGCATGGCCCTGTCGCTATGCTACGCCATGCTTTGAACAAGCTGCGCATGGCCCAATCAAACCTGACGTCTCGACATGCACTCACGCAAAAGCCCTGCTGCTGCAAACAGACATGCCCACGCGTGAAACGGCCGAGGCGCCTCTACGCAAAGGAGCAGGCACCAGGGAAACTGCACGCATGGCCACGGGTTTCTGGGACGCTCGCTCTGTGAGCGAGGCTGCTAAGACCGCATGGCCGTGGCCACCCTTCGAAAACGACTAGGCATTGCCCTGCCGCTATGCTGCGCCATGCCGTGAGAAAACTAGGCATGGCCCTTGCCAAACCTGACACCTCGGCATGCACTCGCACAAATTGCATGGCCTGGCGAGCGCACATGGTCAGTGATAACGGCCGCGCCGCCTTCATGCGAACGACCAGGCACGGCCGCGCTGCCCCTCTGCGCCGCGATCCCAAAACCGATGGCCACGGCGCAGCTCACTGACTCGTGCCATTCGCTTTCTGTCCGCGCCCTTGCCTGCCCTCTTTCTTTTCTTCTCGCACTCGTCACAGAGGCGCACTGGATTCTCGGCTCTCGGACCCAGGCGCCAAATGGCGTCTCTCACCCGGACGCAGATCTCGCGCGCGGGGCGCTGGCACGCGCGACAGACAACACACGTACTCTCTGTCCATCTCTGTCGAACGCGTCTATTGCTAATAGATCGCGGCACCGCTTGCACTCCTGCTTCTGTCGCTGCCATGCTCGCATTCGTCATAAACTTACGCCTCGAACTCACCCTTTGCCCCCGGGTTGGGCCGCTTCGCTCCGCCAGACGCGCGCGGCGGATATCTGCGATCCCCGCAAAGGAAGTCCCCGCCAGCTCTGCGGCTTTGATGGCGTCCAGGGGCCTGTTCTCGATTCCCTTTTTCTTCAAGCACCGCGCGCAGGGCGGGCATGAGCACTCGTAGCACATCTTCCGGGGGGTCTGCCCGAGGTTACCCAGCGCGCCCTTCACTTCCGACGCCTGAAGCTCCCGCGGGAATTTCGGCTGACCGCGCGCCGGGTTCGAGCGCTCCCCGGCGATCTTGTCGGCGCCCTTCCGCCCCCCGGCCACGCACCTCGCGCACTTCGCATCCCCTGACGCATCTTTGCCGCGCCGGGCTTGGAGCAGGTCGCCCACGTAGCTTCTGCCCACGGGCGCCGCGGCACTGCGCCATTTCTCCGTCGTCTTTGCCAGGCCTGCACCCGAGGCACTCGCTACAAGCGGCGCTGCCACCGTCTCCCCAAGCTTTCTGATTCACTCGGTTGAAATCCTGACGCGGCAGCTCGCGTTCTCACGGCCCGACGCACTTTCGGTTTGCATCGGTTCACTTGTCTCTTGCGTTTTAAGCAAACCAAATCTGCGCCTGGTCGAGAACTGCCTGGTCCCGACTGGAACTGAATATGTTATCTCCTTCCACGCATCGACGCCCTCGCCCCGCCCCTCTTTCTCACGTTTATCCTTCGCTGTCTGGTTGTCTGTGCAAATGCGGCACGGCAGTCTCATCGAGGGGAGACAGTCGACCCGCTCCTCTTTCTCCTTCGCTGCTTCTCTGTCCTCTTCCTTCCACGCCGCCATCACCTGCGAAGTCGCCGCGAGCTTCTTCGCGAGGACGTCCAAGAGGAACCTCGGGCCCGGAAGCACCCCCTGTCAGAACAAGCGGGGAGAGCACGGCTGCGCGATGAGCATGTCCCCCGCTTCCTTCACCCTGCCCATGATGCCGCAGGCGCGCAGCATCGCGCCCCTCTGCGGCTGCGTAGTCCGCGTAAGACAACCCCCGATGGCAGCCGGCAGCGCACTCCCACCACGCGCGCGCTGCTCCACCGAAGTCAGGCACGATTGGGGATACTGCAGCGCCTCAGCATCACGGCGCCTCCAGCCCTGCGCGGGCCGAGCGCACGCGCGGCGCCCGTCGATCTCTGGCACGAGTTGCGCCCCAGCGGGTACCTAGATGAATCACTTCGCAGGTCTCCTCGGCAAAGCTATTTCCGGACGCCGCGCGCGCTTGAACGCGCTCTGCTCCGTCGCCCCTCTGCCGAGCATGTCTGCGAAGCGAACGGGCGGATTTGGCGCGGGCGGAAGCAGTCCCGGCACCCCTCCTGTCTCGGCCACTTCGCGCTTCTCGTCCGAGTCGACCGTGCCCCCCGGGAGAACCTGGGGAGCGGCGCAGGAATCCCCGCCGGGGTCACTTGACCGGCGCGCCCCCCGAATGCTCGACGCAAGCTTACGGGGAACGTCGCGGCCCGATTTTCCAACCCGGCGAATGACTGAAACGCGCGCCGCCGATTCCCTCGCCCAAGTGTCACCGAGCCGATTCGGAGAACACACGGGCCGATAGCTCGGAAATCCCTTCATTCCAACACACCCTTCAACCGCAGAGGTGCTTCCGGAAACCCCCCAAATCGCGCGAGGATGACGCCCGGACGCCTGGGCGGCCCACGGAGGCCCCACGACTGGACCAAGAGCGCCTCCGAGAACAGTCGAGATACCCGCCGCCCGCCCCCCCCCCGAACTGTCGCCGCAACCTTTCGGGCAACGAACTTCCCGCGACAACCGCGGAAGGCGCGTGCCCCAGGCTTCCTCGGGAGGAATCTGCGCGATTGGTCAAAAATCCCCGAGCCCCTCCCACTCCCACTCCCACTCCAGCCCCCGCTCGCCCCCCGAACTGTCGCCCCAACCTTCAAGGAGATTGCCACAATACCTATATTTATATATATATATGTATATATATATATAACACGCACACGCACACGCACACGCACACGCACGCACACACACACACACACACAAACACACACACACACACACAAATACACACACACACACACACGCACGCCCACATGTTCCCGCGCCAAAAAAAAAACGCTTCGCGATCCAGGATTCCTCGAGAGGGACCTGCGCGATTCGTCCAACCCCCCTGCATCTGAAATCCCCCGGGCCCCCCCTTTCCCCCTCCGGCCCCCGCCGGCTCCCCGAACTGTCGCCCCAACCTTCCGGGGGGCAGAATTTCCACAGCAACCTTGGAAAACGCGCGCGCGAAACTTCCCGAGCCGAAGAAACTCCCCGCCAGACAGCTCAAATCACCAAAAAAAAAAAAAAAAAAAAAAACTACCCCGCAAAGAGTGCGCGCGCGAGGCACCTCGAATCCGCCAACGCGTTCTCTCGGGCCCCCGATCGTTCCCCGAACTGTCGCGCCATCACGCGGGGGAACGTGAACCTGTAAACGAACCCGCGCACGGCCGGGCGCAACGGACTCCCGGGCGAAAGTCAAGGTTCCCAGGACAGCTGATGTTCTGCACAAAACCACCCCATCGAGAATGCGAGGACGAGGGCGATCGCACGGTGGCCCGGGGCCCATGACTCTTCATCTGGCACAGGCCAAACCTCCTCTGGGACGCGCGCCAGCTCGCTCGTTTTGTGCATCTCCCGCAAATGCACGCACGGAAGCCGCTCCATCTCCATGCGTCGCGTAAACGGGCCATTGCACGTCCAGCGACACCCTTTGAAGCCGCAGTGCAGATTCGGCATCACAGCCGCTCTGCATCTCCAGCCGCCCCCGATCTGTCGCCATGTCCCCGAATACTTTTCCTCCAAGGACATCTTCGCCGTCTGCAAGGCATCGTGCGATCCCGGAGGTGAGGAACGACAGCGTCTACGATGGCCACGTCTTTGCCAACGTCATTGCGCGTTGCCCCGACGTCCTCTGCTTCCACGTGGAACAGGTCCGAGTCGTCGCCGACGTCGCAGAAGTCGTCGACGCCATTGCCCTCCTCGCCGCCCTGGACGTCGCCAGCGCCGCCCTCGCCGAAGGGAACGCCCTCGGCTCGCGGGCCCGATGTCACCGCGGCGGCTGCGCCGTCTTCGCACTCCCTGGCGCCCTGCGCCTCCTGCGGCGAATGTCTGGGGATCTTTCTTGAATCCCGCCACGTCGCCTCCGTCCACCGACTCTTCGCCCCCCGAATTGGAGCTCTCGCTGGAAGCGCTGTCGTCGGACCCCGAAGAAAACGAGCGCCCCGTACTTCAGCACATCCCATCATCGGACTGTTCGCCCTCGCCATCGCCATCAACGCGGGTTCCATCACCCAAACCCGCCTGGCGCTCTGCGTCCTCCGCGAGCATCGCCGCGATTTCCCGCCGGACCTGCTTCGCCGCCTCCTCGGCCGCCGCCGCCGCTCGCCACTGCCTCGACGCATCGCCCTCTGCGGCCATGGTCGCCGCCTCTCTCCTCGCCTCTTCGGACACCGCGTCTCGCCGTCGCAGCTCGCCCATCTCTGTTCGGGTCAGCAAGCGCCCGAAGCGGCCGCGAGCGGGCGGAAGCGGCGGAGGAGGCATCGCGTAGAGGACGTGGGCGGAGTCCCCCATCATCAAACTGACCGTCCCTGCAGCCGCGGCATGCCGCCAGAATCTGCAGCCCCTGCGGAGACAGCAAGTAGGCAGGCCCCTGCAAGGCACCGCGAAAAGCCTGCCACGCAGAAACCGCGGCCAGGTCTGACGATCGCACACTATCGCGCGCCCCAAAAAAAAAGATCCTCAGCATTTCGGCCGCGTCGGTCAGCACTGCCCTCCGTTCAACCCTCAGTGTCTCGGTCCACAAGGCGCCCAACGAGTCCAGAAGTGTTTCCGTCCTCGCCTTCGAAGAAGCGCCGAAACAGCCGCTTCCTGTCTTCCTCATTCGAGCGTGATTCGCCTCTATGGAACATAGCCTCGCACTTCACGAAGTTGCTTCCTCGTCCAACTGCACGCAAGATATCGAAGGAGTCCGGGCCCTCAACGGCAGCGCTGCGAGGGTCATTGGGCACCAGCGAGCACCGCAAGCTGTCCACGTCGTGGACCGCCTGGAGATATCCGAGAACGTTCGCCAACGGTCTCGCCAAAACACGCTCGTTCTGCACCGCGAAGAAGCGCTGGGCCCAGCGGTAGAAATTCGTCTCGGCAGCAAGCAGCTGAACATCCGCCTTCTTCTTCTTGTCGGCATATGCTTTGGCATCCCCTTGAACAGCACTCGGCAAATGACGCCGAAATCTCTCCGATTCTTGCTCACTGAGGTCGGAAATTACAGCGTTTCCCCGCAACCAGCCAAACTACCAGTGCTCCAGGAGCTCGCGGACGAACGACGGAACTGCGGCGATCAGAACAACGACATCCTCGCGGAGACTCTGAACCACACGGCGTCGAGCGTCGCCGAGAAAAGCTTGACGCGCCTTCCTTGCGAGTCCAAGCGCGCGGTGCCCCAGATAGCATTGACGGAACAAAACCCGTCCTCCTCCGTCTCCAGACCGCTGCACGGCGCGCCACCCGAAACAGCTGGAGGCTCCGCGGACGTCCGCGGGCAGGCCGTCCACGTCGTAGGCAACGACACGAGCATCCCCACGCGATGCCGCGATGCAACAGGCTACGCTGCTACACCGCCAGCTTCGCCTCGCGCCGTGGCCGCATCTCGACCACCACGACGCCTTCGAGACATTTGTCGACGCTCTCCCGGACGTCCAGACGGGACGGCCCAGTGGCGGACGCGCCGGGCATGGCCACGCACTGCCTCGGAATCGAACTGCGGTTGTTTGTATTCCGTATGCGATGCTGGAAAAGACTCGAACCCAAGTGAAACTACGGACAGACATGATGCAGGAAGATACCGCCGTGAAGCTACGTCAACGAAGTGCTGTCGGCAGTGAGCCGGAGCAGCCATGAACTACGCCAGAAGCGTTCCCCGATACAAGCATGGGCGAAACCGGGGAAACATTATCACTGACATCCTCAAAAGGCGTTCCCGGATACGGTCCCATACGCAGATTCACGCACACCGCCGACGACCCCGAGACGGCCCTGGACAGCCCCGCTCGGCTCTCAACTACCCGCCCTCATGTCACGGGAGCCGAAACCCTGTCCAGGGAGAACCCCGAGATGGCCAAGAGAAACCAGATCGACGTCCTCATTGAATTCAATCTCGCCCACGTGTTCCCCGAAGGCTCTCCAGACGAACTCGGGGAGCACCTTGTCCAGTGTCCAGGAATCGGTTCCCCGAAAGCTCTCAGCAACGGCTCGGGGAACAATGTCTGAGCAAACTCGGGCAGCACATGCCAATGACATCTTCAGCATCGGGCGAGCAGGCCGTGGCGGCGAATCCATGCCCACTCCGCCCCCCCCCTCCGCACAACATGCATGCACGAAGAAATGTGCGTCGACAAGGCCGCCTCGCCAATCCAACTATGACAACTACACGAGGATCGTTCCGTGAACCGTGTATACGCTGCTTTCAAGGAGCACATGCCTATGACACAATCCAACGTCAAGCGAACCAGCTTCGGTCCTCCTCATCCTCCACTCGATTCGATTCCATTCCATTCCATTCCATTCCATTCCATTCCATTCCACTACATCCCATTAGATTACATTCCGTTCCATTACATTCCTTCCACTCCACTCCATCCCATCCCATCCCATTCCATCCCATCCCATTCCATTACAGTCCCTCCAATTACATCCCATTCCATCCCAGTCCTCCCCTTCCCTCACTCTCCTCCTTCCTTCGGGGATGGACAGACCTCCCTTTAGTAAAACGTGGTTTAGTGAAAACGACCTCGGGCCAAACCTGGCGGGCGCAAGCCTGGAAAATAACGGCCGCGGCGCCCCCTCGAGAACCGAAAACGGACAATTCACTAATCGACGTGTCACCATTGGGGGTTCTGTCCAGCCCCGATTCCTCCTCCCGCACCCCCTTCAGACTCCTCCCTCCGCCCCGCCCTCCGACTCGGGGGCTCTCTGACCTGGGTCAGTGCAAACCTGGGCTAGTCAGGCTCTGCAGGATGCTACAAAATCCTGCAGGATCCTGCAGGATCCTGCAAGATCCTGCGTGCATGACTGGGACAGTGCACCGCTGGCCCTGCAGGATCCTGCAAAATCTGGGGGTCTGCCTGACCCCGCTTGCATTGACACCCGTCTCTTACCGCTCGCCCAGCGACGATGGCCGAGATGCCAGCGACAAGCTCGACGACGACGACGACGACGACGGCGACAACGGCGGACGACAACGACGACGGCGACTGCGACAGCGACGGCGACGGCGACGGCGACGGCGACGGCGACGGACGACGGACGACGGACGACGGACGAGGGACGACGGACGACGGACGACGGATGACGACGACGACGACGACGACGACGACGACGACGACGACGACGACGACGACGACGACGACGACGACGACGACGGCGGACGACGACGACGACGACGACGACGACGAAGACGACGACGACAGTGACGGCGACGGCGACGGCGACGGCGACGGCAACGGCGAAAGACGGCGACGACGACGACGACAACGACGGCGACGACGACAACGCCACTGCGCCACTGCGCCACTGCGCCGCTGGAAGGAAGCTGGGCGGGCCGCGCCTGCAGTTTGCGGTCGCCCTTCCAGTCCGGCGCCCCAGGCGGCTTGGCGCCCCACACGTACTCCTGCGCTTACTCCTCCTGCTGGTCCTGCTCTTTGTCCTTAACCTTCTCCTCCAGCTCCTCCTCCTCTTCCTCCTCCTCCTCCTCCTCCGCCCTCCTCCTCCTCTCCTCCTCCTCCTCCTCCTCCTCCTCCTCATCCTTCATCATCATCATCATCATCATCTCATCATCATCATCATCATCATCATCATCATCATCATCATCATCATCATCATCATCATCATCATCATCATCATCATCATCATCATCATCATCATCATCATCATCATCATCATCATCATCATCATCATCATCATCATCATCATCATCATCATCATCATCATCATCATCATCATCATCATCATCATCATCATCATCATCATCATCATCATCATCATCATCAATCATCATCAATCCTCATCATCATCATCATCATCATCATCATCATCATGCTTCTAGTCATCCTCCTCGTCGTCATATCAACATCATCATCATCATCGTCATCATCATCATCATCATCATCATCATCATCGTCGTCATCATCATCATTAGCAGCAGCATCAGCATCAGCATCAGCATTATCATCATCACCACCACCGCAGTCGTCATCATCGGCACGACCAGCATCAGCAGCAGCAGCAACAGCATCATCATCGTCATCATCATCATCATCATCATCCGCAGCAGCATCATCAGCATCATCATCAGCATCATCAGAATCCTAATCATAAGCATCATCATCAGCAGCAGCAGCATCAGCATGAGCATCAGCATCACCATCAGCATCATCATCATGAGTATAATAATCTGCAGTAGCACCACCGTCACCTTCATATTCAGAACCACCATATACATCATTATCACCATCACCACCACAATCATCATCATCACTATCAGAATCGTCCTCATCATCACCGTCGTCATTGTCATCGTCATAACCAGTGCCATCATCATCATCATCATCATCATCATCATCATCATCACAATCACCGTCATCATCACCGTCATCATCAGCATCATCATCACCGCCATCATCAGAATCATCACTATCATCATCATAATCATCGTCATCGTCGGCAGCATATTCATCATCATCATATCATCATCGTAATCAGTATCGTCATCATCGTCATTATCAGCATCATCAGCATCATCATCCTCATTAACATCAGCATCATGATCACCAACGCTCACATCATGCACTTGCTCATCCTCCTGTTCCTCATCTTGCTCCTCCTCCTCCTACGAATCATCACCATCAGCAGCAACAGCATCATCATCATTAATGACCAGAAGTAGCAGCACCCTTCTCGCCCTCGTACTCGTCCTCGCCACCGTCCCGCGAAGACCAGCCACGGGCGCCAGGGGGTAGGCCCGCCCTTCGCGGGCAGTGCGCGATACGCTCCCCTCTTCGCCCAACGACGGGGATGAGCACACTTTGTGAGCCCGCGGGCGCCAAGTGGTCCGAGACAGTCAGATGCAGGTCAGCAAGCGGTGGTGTGCACGGGGAGCGAATTGAGGCACGAAGGCGAAAAGGAACAGAGCGCGAGGGGGAAGAGGGAAGGGAAGAGCTCACATCCACCCCGGCGCGCTTGGGCGGCGGGGGGGGGGCAGGCGCGCCTCTGCGCTCCCTCCCACGACTGCTCCTCGGGCCCCCTCGCCTCGCCATCCGCCTGCTCCTCGTCACTCGTCCTCATCCTGCTCCTCCTCCTCCTCAACTTCCTCATCCTCCTCCTCCTCTCCTCCCTTCCTCCACCTCCTCCTGCCACTCCTCTTCCTCCTCCTCCTCATCCTCCTCCTCCACCTCCTCCTCCTTCTCCTCATCATCCTCCTCCTCCTTCTGCTCCTCGTGCGACCTCTCCTCTTCCTCTCTGGAGGAGCAGCGCTCTGCTCCGATCCGCGAGTGCAGCGATCGATCAAGAGTAATCATGCGCCTGCGTGGATGCTGGGATCCACCTGGGTTGCAAAGGAAGCACTCACGGACAACAAACGACGACGACGACGACGACGACGACGACGACGACGACAAAGATAAAGACAAAGACAAAGACAAAGACAAAGACAAAGACGACGACGACCAAAACGACGACGACAACGACTACTACGACTACTACGAAGGACGAGGAGGAGGAAGAGGAGGAGGAGGAGGAGGATCAGTGCCCAGTGCTAGCTCCTCGTCGCGACGGAGACCAGCCCACGGCCCAGCTCCGCCTGCGGCGGGAGAAAAGCCGGCTGCAGCAGGAGGCAGGAGGGCAGGGAAGGAGATCCTACTCCCAGTCCTCCTCCCCCTCCACCACCTCCTCCTCCTCCTCCTCGTCCTAATCCTCTTGTCACTCTAGTCGTCGTCGTCGTCGCCGCCGCCGCCGCCGCCGTCGTCGTCGTCGTCGTCCTCC